CACACAGACACACACACACACATACACACACACACACACACACACACATGCACACACACACACATACCCCCATCATCTGTGCAGCCTTGAGCTTCTCCTCAAATGTCTTCTTCATCTCTTCCATCTCCTTCTCGTTGTCCTGCAGGCGAGCATTGTAGTCTTCCTCCATCTCTGCCTTCAGTTTCGCCATCTCTATAAATGCCAGGTGGGGGTGGGGGAAGGCATAAAAAAATTAACATTTTAATAATCCAAACATAACGAAGAGAAAAATAAGTATTAAAAAATTATTTAAAAATCATATAGAGTTGTCTTTCGTTATTGCAGAAAAGTATGCATTAATCATAACAATTATTGTTTTTCATTATCAAGAAACCGTGTGCAAATTGCGCACGTTAAAGATCCCTTGGTGGTCTAAAATCGATAAGAGTAGGCTTCGACCGCCACCCGGGCAAAATTCAAAATTTCCTACCAACTGAAAATAGTAGGTGTGTCCCGCGCACTCATATGACCTTATGCAGTTGCGAGCGCCGTAAAACACTTTACAAAAACAAAACAAATTATCAAGAAAGAGTAGAAATCATGCTATTTTTTGCTATAAAAAATACAAATTATGTTCTTGTGTCATATACGAGAACCATATAACTAAATCACAAAATCAAATATTAATTCTTGCATTTTTATTATCACGGTATAGTTGTTTTATAATCACCAAACATAATAAACAGAGAGGCAAAAAACAAGCAAGCAACAATTAAACAAACACAAAACTGACAGACAGAGAAGGAAAAAAAATTTAGAGACATAGAGAAGAGAAACAGAAATCCATGAATATACGTGAGGCAGCGCGGTGGAATCAGGCTCTCGTGAAAATAATCAAAGTGAAGAAACTTGCATTTTTCTGAGGGTTTGTGAATTTTAATCATTTTTTTTGGTTTTTTGGCTCAACACCTTTCTTTCATGCTCATTAAAGAACTCATTTCTGTGTGGATTTTTCCGAAAAACGTTGAGTAAAGTCTCAAAAATGTAAATTTTCAGTTACCACGGACTCTTAAGCTAAGGAAATAACAAATCTTTGGCGGCCATTTTCTCACTAATTCTACATCTGAAAACAAGTGACCCCCACCTCCTTCTTTCGCAAATATCTCGACTTGTATTCAAGATAAATGTATATTTTATTCATCCAAATAAAGACAAGTGAGTACGCTTTAAGTTGATACCAATAACTCTAAATGTCCAAAAATTGACGATAGCCCAATTTCACCACGCTGCCTCACAAATGTCTTATATAAAAGAACAAAAAAGACAGACCCACAAAAAAGCAAAATACAAAACATAGACAAACAGAGAGGAAAAAAACGATAAAAAAATAGATAGACGAAATAAATAAACAGACAGAGAAGCAAAAGAACAACACAGACAGACAGACAGACAGACAGACAGACAGACAGACAGACAGACAGACAGACAGAGAAACAAAAGAACAGCAACTAAAAAAAAAAGAAATGAAACAAAATGAACCGAAACAAAATATAAACGGAATACATTCAAAACCAAAACAAAATACATGTTAACCGAAACAAAACAAAAATGAAAACCCCAATGTGACCCTGACCTTCGTCAGAGAGTTCCTCGTCATCGTCTTGCATGACCTCCATCTTGACGTTGCCGCCCAGCATGGCCTTGAGTTTTTCATTCTCCTCCTGCAGTTCCCGGATGAGCTTCTCTGTCGGGTCCTCGTTGATGGTCGCCTTTGTCTTGATCTGTTTGGCGCGGTCAGCTGGTGGGGGCGGGGGGTTTGTGGGGGGTTGTTGGGGGGGGGGTGTGTAGGTGGGGGGGATGTAGGCGGGTGGTGGAGGGAAGAGGAGGGGGGTGAGAGGAAAGGGTGGGGGGGGGGTAAGAGGAGGGGGGAAGGGAGGAACAGGGGAGTGAGTGAGGAAGGGGGTGGATTGATGGTGGGGGGGGGGCGAGGGGTGTGGTGTGAGGAGGTAGGGGGCCGTGAGGAGGTTGGGGGTAGGGGCAGAAGTTAGGGAGTGGAGGGGATGGAAAGGGTGGTGGTGGGGTGAGTAGTGGAGGGGGTAAGGGGTAGATGTTATGTCATGAGTGGATGAGAGGAACTCTAGTCTGCGAGAAATTTACTTCAGGCTTAAAACCAGTTGATTGTTACTAATTAGGGAGAATTGAATTTCAAAATGAATATCCATTTTTTATTTTCAGGTTGAGTTTTTTTTTAGATATTACTTACTTACTACCCGTTACACCATCTGGCGTTTAGGGCAGCAACAAAGGATCTCCAGCTCTGTCTGTTTTAGGCCATCTTGGTCAACGTCCCCCACGAATGGTTCCAGGACTTCATTTCAGACTGAATTGTGCGTTTTTTTAATATATAGCTTGAAGTCCATTCTCCTTATTACACAATAACAAATTTTTTTTAAAGTCGAAGCGCAGCAGTTGGGATCAGTGATTTCAGGCTACTAATAATAAATGCATGATACAATTATTGTGAAAGGAATGATGGAGCAGACCACAGTACTGTTGTTTGAATAAAAAAAAACCAAGTAAATGCAAATTTGAGAAAAATAAACTTTTTGAAAAATAAGATTAGTTTTAAGTGAGTAAGTACACATCCACCTATCTTAGTTTGGAACTACTATGGCTATCTATTTCAGTGATTATTCAGACATTTCCTCTATAGTAACAATTTAACAGCACATATAGTCACTTTTAAGGACAAGCGGGCTAACCCAGATTTCGGGGGTTTCCAGAAATCTTGACCAACACCAAAAGTGGGCATTGCCGGCCCTACCCATAGGAGAAGTTTGGTTTCATTGGTGTGTATCTTTGTTTGGATATACAGAAAACTCTCCTTGTCTTTTAAAGAAGCTGAACAACTTTACCTTCCAATTTTTCAAAACAGCATTTTTTCGGGACAGCCCCCTTGTGCTTAAAAGCGACCATATAATTGGCTTTATTCCAGTTTGTGACAGCACTTGATTTTGTCAGATACTAGGTTTTCCAATTGAAACGGCATATATTAGAGATGGTGAGTGCAAGGTATCAGGACCTACCATATTTGAGAGTGGACAAAAGTGAATACACAAGACTGCTGTTTGGAGAAAATCGCAAATGAAAATTTTTAACAAGTTTGAGATGTGAGATGAGACAAAATTGCTTTGAAAGGTGACATCAAGCTCTATTCAGCCATATGTTTATGTCTGATTTGTTTATTTTGGCACTTAAGACATTTTTGCTTTCAAGGGTCGATCTAAGAGAGGACACAGTGAGTACAAGGTATCAGGGCCTACCATATATCTGAGAGTAGACACAGTCAGTACAAGGTATCACTGTCCTCGTGGTGTTATGTATCCCGCATAATTTAGCAAAATTTGATCATTATTTTGCATAATTTCTGATTATTTTCCTTTATCATTCTTTGTTAAAATTAACAGAATCGCATAATTTCACATTGTTGGGCTCAGTTTGCATAATTTCAGAATTTTTCTTGCATAAAACAACGGGGACATGTATCAGGACCTACCATATCTGAGAGTAGACAGGGACTCCTCATAGTTGATGTCTGCCGGGCTCACAGCCGCAATCTGGGGAGACAGAGACAGGGTACAGTCACCTCCCTTGTTTTGTCTGACTGTCTATCTCTTTGTCTGTCTGTCAGTCTATCTGTCTGTCTGTCTGTCTGTCTGCCTGTCCATCCACCCATCCATCCATCCACCCATCTACCCATCCACCCACCCACACATCCATCCATCCATCCACCCATCTACCCATCCACCCACCCATCCATCCATCCACCCATCTACCCACCCACACATCCACCCATCCACCCACCCACCCATCCATCCACCCATCTACCCATCCACCCATCCAAGGGGATATGACCACGTTTTTAAGCCCAGTAGAATTGTATTTCAATGTCATGCTCCTACTGTGTCAGAACAACACAGGGGGAACTGCTGCTTTTTCTTTCCTCATCCTTACTATCGTCATTTTTCCTCTACTTCTTTTGTAAGTTTCTCACACTCTTGAGACCCGCTATTAGAGAGAGAGAGAGAGAGATAGAACGGAAATGTTTTTCTATCTGTATAGAATTAATGTTTTAATGAATGTTTCTAGTTACTCACGTTTCAACTTTATTTTGACTGTTCGTGAATTTTTATTGCATTGTATATTTTTAGTGAACGCATTTTCAACCTCACTGCGAGACTATTTTTCTGGTATAAAATTTTACACATATGCATTTATATTATATGTATAATACTTTGTTTTACGTACACCTTTGTGTCGATTAATTTTTAAGATGTGATGTCTTTTTCATTGTAATGCGCATTGAGCATCTCTTAGGAAATGGAAATGCGCAGTATAAATGCTATTTATTATTATTATTATTATTATTATTATTATTTCCGGGGTGCCTTGATAGTCGAAGCAGACTTTGTGCTGTTGAGGCTAAAGAGGTGAGCAGAGTAAGCCTGATTCCCTGTAAGGACTTCTCTGTTGACATCCACCCCTTGGCGCTTATATGACCTAATGTAGGTTGTCAGTGCCTTAAAACATTCCTATAAAACAAAACAAGTTCCACTCACCATGATAGTTTTGCTGTTCCCGCCCAAGGCATTCTTCAGTAGCTTGGTCAGGACAGAGTCACGGAACGGAACTGTAGCCAGACACAATAATAACATTATTAATTATAGTTTTTTAATGAATAAATATGTAATAGTAATAATAACAACAATAATAATAATAATGATAATAATAATAATAATAATAATAATAATAACATCAACAACAACAATATAAATCATAATAGTAATAATAATAATAATAATTTTTAAAAAATAAATAATAATAATATAACAAAAAATAATATTAATAATAATAATAATAATAATAATAATAATAATAATAATAATAATAATAATAATAATAAAAGTAATAATAGTAATAATGGTAATAAAGATGATGATGATGATGATGATGATGATGATGATGATGATGATGATGATGATGATGATGATGAGTCCACCAGTATTTAGCAACATTGACTTTTCTCCTCGACAACGGCCGGTCGTCTTGGACAGTTTCTATTGTATCTTTTGTTTTAGTAAGTGTTTTACGGCACTTGTAACACAATTAAGTCATATTATAAGTGCTGAAGAAAAGAGGTGTTACAATGGAGTAACAACTACAAAAAAGAGGAGAGATAAGGACGATAGATGTTTGATGGATAGGAAAGAAGGAGGAGAGATGAGAACGATAGATGTTTGATAAGAAAGAAAAAGGAGAGATAAGGACGATAGATGTTTGATATGAAAGAAGGAGGAGAGATAAGGACGATAGATGTGAGAAAGGAAACAAGGAGGAGAGATAAGGACGATAGATGTTTAATACAAAAGAAGGAGGAGAGATAAGGACGATAGATGTGAGATAGGAAAGAAGGAGAGATAAGGACGATAGATGTTTGATAGGAAAGAGAAGGAGAGATAAGGACGATAGATGTGAGATAGGAAAGAAGGAGAGATAAGGACGATAGATGTTTGATAGGAAAGAAGGAGGAGAGATAAAGATGATACATATTTCGCGACCTCAGAATTTCAAAGCTCTATCTGACATTTTTAGCGCCTGTGAGATACTAAAACCATGAGGACTGAAAAAAGAAATGTTTTATCTGCACAGTCATAATCGTAAGATTATTCGGAGTCGTTGTCAAGATATTCAAAGAATTGCACTCAAAAAAGCTTGACATGATGTGAAACTCAAAATCTATGACGTCCAATGTCTGAAAATTAGGTACTGAGCAGATAGAACTTTGTAATTATACGGTAAGGGTTTGATAGAAAAGAAGGAGGGGTACGATAGATGTTTGATAGAAAAGAAGGAGGGGGAAGACAGATGTTTGATAGAAAAGAAGGAGGGGGAAGATAGATGTTTGATAGGAAAGAAGGAGGGGGAAGATAGATGTTTGATAGGAAAGAAGGAGGGGTACGATAGATGTTTGATAGGAAAGAAGGAGGGGTACGATAGATGTTTGATAGGAAAGAAGGAGGGGTACGATAGATGTTTGAT